GACCCTTAGTTCCATCATCAAAGCACAACACAGAGACTCAGAGATTGGGGGAGTGAAGCAGGCCTTTTAATCTTATTCTTGCAAGAACGGGTGCCTCTCGGGTGAGCAGGCACACCAAGGTAGTCACAGCCAGCATATTTATGCCCTGAAGTGCAAAGTCCTTCCCTGGTTCCTCATTGGCTGAGTACTTCACTTTCCCAGATGTTGCCTAAGCAATAATTTTATACAAATAAGGTAAATCATAAGCAGTTTCTACACAAATGAGATAAAATACATGTCTCTAGATTCTGATTGGGTCTTAATGCTCATCAAAGAACGTTTGCTGAAAGAGAAAGCCTGCTAGGAACGAAGGAAGACCAGGAAATGAAATAAAAAATTGCCATTTTAAAAATGAATCACCATTTTGTTTCTTACAGTTCCCTTCTCTTTTATTTTTAAGTAGCTTTGATTTTATTTTTATGATAATTCAAGGTTTGTTTTACATTTCTGTAATAGTTTTTGACTTTTTTCTCAAAATTAAATTCTGTTTCCATTATTATGAGATTATTAGGGGAATAACCTATGGGCATTTGTTTATTAATAGCAGTTTCTACAAGTCTTTGGACTAAACCTGTAACACAGGGAATTATGCAGCAACCTGCAACTGTAAATATTCCTGCTACAGTCACAAAGGAGGTTAAGATTGAAGCTCTCATTTCTTTCCATTTTCCAAACCAGCCTTCTAACCAATTTGTAAAAGGATCATCAATTCCAGAATTTTCGGCCAATTTACTGGGCAGAGTAGTTAGCCCTTGTAGTGCCTTGGTGATAATTCCTTCAGGGGCTGTGCTATTTGGAATAAAAGTACAATATTTTCTCCCCAACATAACACAGACTCCCCCTTTCTCAGCAAGCATCACATTAAATACCATTAAATACCAAGTCATTTGGCTAGTAGCATCCAGTTGTTCCACAATTTCTTTGACAGTATCTCTAGTAAAACTAACACACCTTTGTTGGTTATAGTAAATGTAATTAATCATATCTACATTCTTATTAATAGTTGAAGAGCACACCACCAGAAGTATGCACAAACTCAAATCCTGTAGCTATTTGGTTTCTAACTTTAAATTCATTAGAGACTCCTCGGAACTCCTATAGCATTGATCCTTGTACTGACATCTTGCTTCTGTTTTGAGGATGAATTTTTAGGTTGGAGCAAAATGTCAGGGTGAATGAGACTACCAACTGAACCAAAGAACAGGTTCCAAACCATCTGGGCGGTAATAGGTTTCTAAGTTTCCTTCCTCCACAGTACCACCAAACATCCACTCTAGGGATGTTAAAGTGAGAGCAGTTGACCTCGTGTACAGCTGAGACATTCAGGATGTGGGTACAAGTCTGCAGTTGCCATACAGAAGTAATGAGCCCTTCCCCCTGTCTGAGGAGACATGAGGAGTGATTCAACTTACCCATAGAAAATGAAGGGATTATCTTCGAATCTGTCTTCTGCAAGGCAGGGTGAAGCAAGTACAGGCTCTTGCATGTCTCATTTTCCCATGCATCCTTGTCTTGGTACAGGGCTAACATACAACTCATCCTGTTGGGATCTGTATCCCAGCCGGTAAGGAATGGAACCACTTGAGCCTGCAACTGTCCTGTGGTACATGCATAGCAATCACTCTTATTTGAAGTGAATACTGTAAATTTTATTCATTCTATCTAGGCATTTATTCCTTATAACCAGTTTTGAGTTCTATAGTCTGTTTTAAATTTTTAATTTCAGCAATAGTGGCCTTTTGGGGATCATTGCTAGGGAGGTTATAACAATCACTGGGGCTCGGGGTTGGTTTCAGTGTACCTACAGCTACAATTTTGACCAAAAGAAGGGTTAATTTTCCTCAAGGATCTCGTCCTGAAATGTCAGCTCCCAACTCATAAACTTGAGGTGCCACCTCAGACCTTTGATCTAAAGTAGCAGGATCATTAATATTCAGAAGTACAGGGTTACATTCTAAATCTTTACAGGCTGTTGGGTGGAATTCTCTTAGATAAGTGTATTCTGGATTTCAAGGACTATAGGGGCTTCATTATTTTTCGGGAGGTTGCTGTCCAACCTTGTCCAACCACCATATATTATCCCAACTGGGACAGTGGCTTTGTGGGCTTGGGGAAATTTCTCAAAATTTTCAAAATTTAAATGCTCCTTACCTATATTAGGTTCAGGACAAAGATATTTGTCTGTCTGAGATAATTGTCTTTGTTTTTCTAGGTTTTCACAAGGCAAAATTTGGCATGGATACAATTTTATAGTTTGAAGAGATGAGGTTTCAGTCACATTGATTATCAACTTAATATGGAAAGGGATAAGGTTTACCTTTGGTTTTCTGTATATTAATGGCCCATAAAGTTACAATAATAATAGAAGTCTGTAAGTAATTAGACATTTTGATGGTTCTCAAGGGAGGAAAAAATTTCATCAGTGCTCAGAATTAAGAGGCCTTTTACATAAATGTCAAATAAAACAAATAGCTAGGACAACAAAATTAGTCACTATATGCAGGGTTATAAGGAAAGTATCAGGAACATTTATGGAGACTACATTTTAAATGAACTTTTTCCTATTTTTATCTTTACAGGTTTTATTTGAGAGACCTCCTACCGATCTTCCCTCTCTTTTGCCACATTCTCTGTTATTGATTTGTTGACTTGGGTATGATGTGTCCACCCCTTTTCTGCCACTTGCACAGCATTTCAGTAGTCAAGCAGCACTTGGTACGGTCCTTCCCAGTTCAATTGGAACTTGGTTTCCTTCTAAGTCTTGATCAACACTCAATTGCCTGGCTGAAAATGGTGAACTGTGAACTCAAGAGGAGGAGTTTGAGCAAGGAGTCCTTTTAATCTAAGGGAAGATAGGGTACAGAAGATGGCTGAAATATAGTCCCTTAAAAATTGGTCTTTGGTCTACAGAGTCAGTAAATCTGTTGCTCTACCTAGATAGGGCAACCCATAAAAAAGTTCATGGTGTGATAAAACCCAAATTCCTTTGAGGGACTGTTCTAAATCAGAAGAGAACTATAGGAAGACTTTTGACCCAGGGCAACTTTATTTCTACTATTAGTTTAGTTATATGGGTTTTTAGTGTTTGGTTCATTTGCTCTATCCATCCCGAGGATGACGGATGCCAGGGCGTATGAAAGTTTCATCGCATTTGCAGTGCTGTTGTAATGACTTGTACTACCTTCGAGGCAAAATGGCTACCATCATCTGAATCAATGTTTTTTATTAGGCCAAATCTAGGGATTATGTGTTCCAAAAGTATTTTTATTACAAACCCTGTTATAGCTGTTGTAGTTGGGTATGTCCCCACACACCCAGTAAGATGATCAACAATTACTAACAGGTACTTAAGTTTTCCAACCTTGGGCATTTCAGTGAAATCAATTTGTATACTTTGAAAGGGTCTTAATTCAGGGGGATCTTCCTCCTTTTAATGACCCCCTCATTATCTTTTTATTTACTTTCACAATTTATACATCCATCACAAAGTTGTTTAAAAATAGTATAAATTCCCATACATCCATAGGTTTTTAAGAGTGTATCACACATTGCTTGAGCTCCCCAATGGCTTTCCTTATGTAATATAGATATTAATTCACTAATAATTGGTTTGTTAACCTTCTCTCTTCCACCGAGGAGGATTCACCTTCCTCCTTGTTTGGAGCAGCTCCTACCTTTCTCATCTGTCTCTCTCTCTCTCTCTGTCTCTCTCTTTTTTTAGTAAAATGTGGTTTTATGGAGATTGCAGGCAAGTTGGGGTAAGGTTTAGAAGCTTAATTTTATTTTTAAGGCAGCTATTTTTATAAGCCAGTCTTTAACCAACTGCCTTAAAAGAATTTCCTTGTTGATGACCATTTACATGTTACAGCTATTTTAGTGAGGAGTAGTAAATTTTCTAAAATTTGTTTAATTAGTTCCCTGTGGACTAATTTCTTTTCTTTACTATTTATTAGACTCTTTCCCATCCAGATTTTTTCAAAACTATGTACTACTCCATAATCATAGATTGTGTCTTCCTTATCTCTGAGTATTTTTAGGGCATGATTAAGAGCATATAATTCACAAGTTTGTGCAGACCATGATTTAGGTAGTCTTTCTCTTTTATATACAGATTATATCCACGAAGATGTTAATATCCATTATGTCTTTTGCCTTTAATTACTCTGGAGGAACCACCTAGGAACAACCTAACTCTGGTACAGAGTGGCTTTTCTTTTAGATTTAGTCTAGTTTTGGTTTGGTATTTAACAATATCCAGACAGCTATGATCCAATTTTTTAATTTTATTTTATTCTTCCCAAGCTTTCAGGAAACTTGCTAAATTTATTTAAGAATATGTAGTTAATGTTAGGTTATTCCTCTCTAATAGTATTGCCTCATATTTTAATATTCTGGAGTCCATTAATCAATGGCTGGCCATTTGATTCAGGATGGCCTGGACGTGATGAGGGGTACTAACCAGAAGGGTTTCTTCTAAGATTAACTTCTGACTTTCTTTGACTAGCAAGGCAGTAGCTGCAATGGCCTGGATACACTCTGGCCAGCGCCTGGACACAGGAGCTAATAGTTTTGATATAAAGGCTACTGGTTGCTTTTTCCCACTCCAATTCTGGGCAAGTACCCTGATGGCTGTTCCTTGATCAGTTGTTACAAATAAATGGAAAGGCGTTTCTAAAGAAGAGAGAGCAAGGACAGGAGCTGTAACTGGGGCTTGTTTTAAATTTTCAAAACTTTGTGCTTCCTCTTTAGTTCATTGGAGGGAGTTTGGTGCTCCCTCCAGTTTTGATATAGTTTATGTTATAAACCGGGAAGGTTACTTCTGAGGAGATTTCTGTTGTTGATTTAGCTCTTGATTATTTGTTAAAATGTTCTCTAAAATGTAAAGTTAACTTTCATTTTCTTACATTTTTTCCACAAGTTATTATTGCTGCCATAATCTAAGATGACTCTCTGTTCCTCAGGTTTGGGCGAAAGTTTATTCTCAGATGGTGTCTGCTCCAGCTTGCCATCACTGGCACTTGTGCTGCCTTTATTCCTACCTTCCTCGTTTACTGCTCACTACGCTTCTTGACAGGTTTTTCTACCATGGTCATCACATCAAATAGTTTTATACTCTGTAAGTCAACAATTGTGATTTTTCTCCATTTTCGTGTCTTAAATTTGACCTTGAAATTTTATCTTTATCTGATTTAAATATCTTATCTGGATTTTCTTTCAGCTCTAGAGTGGGTAAGACCGCAGTCTAAAGCCCTGATGATAATACTGGTAAGTAGTGCCTTTAGTGTTGGACAGATGACCCTGGGAGGCCTGGCTTATGTCTTTCGAGAGTGGCGCACCCTGCAGCTGGTGGTGTCTGTACCTTTCTTTGTCTTCTTTCTCTCCTCAAGGTATGAGCCTTCATTCTCGCTTTGTCTTATGGGATCCTGGGATGAAAATAGATATTGAATTAGAACATACTGATTTTCTTATTCCCACATCTGAACTTAAACCCACATTCTCATCTATCCATTATGTGCAATTGAAGAAGCAGAATGAGAAATGACAATGATATTTTCTGCCTGCGCGTTCTGCTGTCTTTCTTCTTAAACCTTACCCAGTAGACAAAAATTATTCCAATATTGATTTTTTTACTTAAATATAAACTCAAATGTTTCAAAAATAACACCATTGTTTCCTTTTTGGTCTTGGAATGGATCAGATTATGGCAAAATTTATAGTTCTCTTCATTTTTGTAAGTAAAATTGATTAAAAAACAGGAGAAAGTTTATTCATATAGCTCTTTGACAAATGAGCAGTATAGTTCTCTAGTACTAAAAATTGGCATGCAAATTGGGTGGTTTATATCATGTGCTGAGCACATTCTCTTCCCTTAAATAATCTTTAACAAACATTTATTCATGGATAACTTTGTCTCTACATTAAAATAAATCTAGAGGAGAGGCAGATTTAGTTAGAAATTTCTGGATCATGGAGCGATTGCTATGGTCTTAACACAGTGAGATAAATTCCAGTAGAGAGCAGAGTACAATCCATGTCAGGCTCATTCTTTATCTTATTCTATCTTTGTAACAAACAAGGGAGATGTAGCACTGCTATTTTCATTTTATTGATGAAGAAATTGAGGCAAATGCATATAAGTGAGTCACTTGTATAGTAAGTTACCAACATAGCTGATAGTGGCAGGAGTACTTCCAATGTTTGTGTAGCTGTAAATTCATTACAGGCCAACCTGGTAACCTACTTTATCCCCTCAGCAAATCAAAAGAAAATCCTATCAGATGTAAGACTAGGACAGCCCAATCTTTCAATTCATGGTTTAGCATAATAATCTCTAAGCATTTTTCAGGTTCCCTGTTGAAGGTAGAAGCCAATAAACCACCCCTTAACTGACCAACGCTATAAAAATGATAATAAGACCACCTTTTGGTTCAGGAACTTGTGAGTTGGAAACATCTGGCAGGTCTCCTGCAAATGAAAATATGGTCAGAAAAGACCACTCCCTCCAGAAGCCCAGAGATGTCAATCTTCAGAGTGGCAGTCTAGAAAATTCACTTTTTTTTTTTTTTAGCATATCACTCATTGTGAAGGTACATCTGGTTTATTGAAAAGAGCAAAGTCACATTTTCTTTTGCCCATGCCAGTTCTGGCATGCCACTCTTTTCTGCCTTCTTTCTCTAATAAACTTTGTCTTGAAACTTTAAAAAAAGAATACATATCATGAACAACACCTGAACATAAATTAGCTAGAACTGACTTAAGCTTTGGAAGGGGATTATGCATATAGGGGACGCTGAAGCTCAAGCTTCACAAGGTTCTTTGTAAATTTCTCTGTGACCAGTCATAGAGAGCTTTAACTCCAAAGTTTGTATTCATAAACCACGAAGGTATACTGCATGGTCATTCTCATATTTTACTAGCATTTGTATAAAAGAATATGAGTTTCTATTCCCAACTCAACTAAGTGGTGGGTAATAGATGGAATGTGAAAGGCATCTGTAGCCAATAACTATTTACTTGTTAATTAAACATGTTTTTATTTTAAAGATGTGGGGTACAATTCAGGGTTAGATATACAAATGCTCACTATGCAGGCACCCTTATTGATTGTAGCCAGTAATCATATGACTAACAAGAAAAATAGAAATAATTGCATTTGTTTATTCTTCTTTTATCAGGTGGCTGGTGGAATCTGCTCGGTGGCTGATTATCATCAATCAACTAGATAAGGGCTTGAAGGCACTTAGAAAAGTTGCACACATAAATAGAATAAAGAATTCTGGAGACAGCCTAAACATGGAGGTGAGCAGGAAATGGAAAGTGGTTACTAGGATGGAGGAAATATGTAAACTGTCACCTACCTTCTCTTTATTTAGACAGATGAACTTCATTTCTTACAAGGGCAGTTAGCAGAGAATAGGAGCTCAGTTCTCATTTTCCAAGGCCACTTCATGTAAAAAAAACTTTGGGAGTTATGTAACTACCTCTTTCTATGCACACTTGTGGATACCCTACATCCCTCTATGGCCTCATTTTAAATTATCTTTATTGCTGCATAATTTTTCACAACATCTTTAACTCCCCTCTACATTTTCCTTCATATGACTCTCACACCTTTAATTGCTCATATAGTATGTTACCCTAGATGGAAAGGGAGCCCATCTCTCTTGTCCTGTTAAATGCCAGTGTTCATCACAATGCCTGAGACTATGTGGGTAAATGATACATGTTTGTTGTTGTTGAAAGTTGTGAGAACCACCATGCAGGAGGAGCTGGATGCAGCCCGAAACAAGTCTACTGTGTGTGACTTATTCCGCAGTCCCAATATGCGTAAAAGGATGTGTATCATGCTCTTTGCGAGGTGGGCTTCACACAGTACATGAGGAGCATTAAAAGTGTGGAGACAGAAACCTATATCTTCTTTAAAAGTTTACAATAGTGGCTATTTTGTGTATAGAGATGATTTGTAAATAAAAGATGAAAGCATATAGATATTCATTATGCTTGAAGGGAGGCAGAGGCATGTAATAATTCACATAGGCTGACGACATAATGATGAGTTAATTATGTCATATTATCCTATCAGTCTTGTAACTAGAGATTGATACTGACAATACATTTTAATTTTCTTTATTTTGTTTTCAGTCTTACTTGAAGCAAATCTTACAAATAGTACCCCTCACAGATCATGAATGCATACAACCTAATGAGTATTTTTAATATGTGTTAATGCAACCAACACACAGATTAAGATATAGAAAAACCCTGATTCCTTGAAAGGACTCAATGCACACCATCTATAGCAATAACAACTGCACTGTCTCACACTTTTTTATCTGAAAACTTAAGAACAAGTCTGACCTCCACCACCCTACAGCATTGTTGCCTGAGCTTGATCTTCACATAATGTAAAAGATAAAATGGTTCTCTTTGAGATAGACTCCTTTTCCTCAACATTATTTGTTCAAAATTTATTAGTTTTTTTGCATGTACCAGTAGGGTTTTTTCCTTGGCATTTTAGTATTCCAATAGATAAATATACTACAAATACAATAATAATATATATATAATAATACAAATATATGTATATATAATAATAAAATACAATAGATAAATATACTACAAATTCGATATCTACTTTGGTGGACTTTTACTTGTTTCCAATTTAGAGTGCTAGCATTAGGGCTTCTGTAGACAAACTTGTACATTATATTTTTGTGGGGAGGGGTGGGCTAAGTACTTATTTAAATAGGATCAGTAAGGAAAATTTTAAATATAATTCTAAATTTTTGAAGATGTATAAAAAGTATACTGGACATGCTCATGGACAGGAAGAATCAGCACTGTTAAAATGTCCATCCTACCAAAGGCAAACTATAGATTCAATGCAATACCTATTAAGTTACCAACATCATTCTTCTCAGACCTGGAAATGATAACACAGAAATTCATATGGAACCATAAATGACCACGAATGGCCAAAA